CGTGGAGATATAAGCATCGCTGCAAATGTCCTAGAAAAGTGACCTGTGTTTTTTTTTGAGACACGTGTGTGTTTAAAAACACGTTTTGTACAAAGGTCACTTTTTCTAGAACATTTGCAGTGATGCTTATATCTCCACGAAAACTCATCAGAAGTTTCTCGGAGATGCCCCATTTGAAGAGCACACTTTCTTCTATCAGACTATGTATAAGAAAAAATCTTGAGTATATACGAAAGAAAAGAAAACTTTATGAAACTAAAATATTAAGTCTTACTTTTAAGACTTCGAAGGAAAAACTCAAGAAAATTCAATAACTTTTGCAGGAAGCAATAAGAGCCCAAATCCTTTTGGGCTTTCTACTAGGACACTATACAGTATCTATCGGCAAAAGATCATTGCAATCGACGTTGGGCACCATAGGTATTAGACGCAAGCAAGTAAACACTTCTAAAACAGTCTATTTGATACGGTTTTATTCGTAGATTATAAATATAGTATGAGCTTTTACTAGAGACGGGAAATTAAGACAGAACAATAATTTTCCCAGCTACTGTGTGTGAAACAGATAGACTGTGTTCGAGACCAGTTTTTAAAGATATCCCTCCTTTTCTGACCCGTTGAGAAACCGACAAAGTCATGTCTCATCTGGCTGAAATTTATACCAGAGGTGGGATATCGAAAAAGAAAATCTATATATTTTTCTTCAAAAATCTCTGACATGTTCCTTTATGGATTATCTAAAAAGCTTTAGTTTTCATTCGGACATTCACAGAGACTCATCCTCCTCGCCCTCGTGCAGATCTTCTGCTTTCTGCACCTGAACAATTCTTTGTTCTGATGATAATCTTTCTTGTATTTATAAATTTTGTAGATCGTAAGAAAAGAAGTTCCAATGAGAAGATACGTAAGTTAAAAAAGATTATTAAATTATATTCATCTTCAGAGAAAAGTGTTAATACTGAGTCAGTATACTGGCAGGAGGTCACCTATCATGTCATCAAACTAAATTTTGAATGCTGTGTATCTCGAGAAGACAAAAACTCGGAAACTATTTCCGAATAAAGTTAGAAGTATTCATCAAAAAAACTCATCCATACAAAGCCATTGGATTCGACTAGGTGTAGAGAAATAAAGAAATGTATGATTTACTCGATATCAGAACGATTATGCTCTTCAAAATAGAATGCTTCTATCAATGTACGAATAAGTCACAAAAGGAAAACGAGAGAGACTTCGGTTTCTCGTCATTTTGTAGCCAAGGTCTAACTGTATCTTGTGAATGATATGGGCATCGGAAACTTGGATTTTTAGATCATGTGCTTCGTGAATCTATTGAACAGGATTAGTGTCTGCTGTTTTTCTTGCCCATAGCAACATCTTTGTCTGATGGGTGTAGTTGATAGCCCAAAGGCTGCTCCAAAATTCACGCAAGTCCGATCTCTTTATCCATCAATATGTTAAAAGAGACTTTCTGTTGTAGTACGAATTGAATGATGAAATGCCAATTCTAGTTTTATCTGGATGAATGAGTTTTTCAGTATTTTCGCTTAGTATAGTTGGATAGAGAAAAAATAGAAGTTGTGTGGTACAGATACTTTTAACATTAATTTCTAATGTGGTATATATAGAGTGATTTCCCATCATCCATCCATCACTGTCAAGATATCATTTTCTTGTATAAAAAAGAACAAAACAAAGAAGTAGGTAAATTATAAGACCACTATTACTGAACTACCAATACAGGCAAAAACCAATGATACAGATGGATTCAGTAATATTTTAGGTCCAAAGTGCTCAAGATAGCATTACGATCAAATCGAACAAAACTCTTCTATCACAATGAAACATGGCCGAATAAGGTGAAAGATTGCTATGGGCAAGAAAAACAGCAGACACTAGCCCTGTTCAATAGATTCATGAAGCACATGATCTAAAAATCCAAGTTTCCGATGTCCATATCATTCACAAGAGAGGGTTAAGCCTACAAAATGACGACAAACTGAAATCTCATCATTGCCAGTTCGATTTAGTTTATTCTCGCACAGCCGTAGACGTATGGAAAAAAAGCATTGCTAGCAGAAAAGTTTATAACAGAAGAATCTGCGTTTCACTAAGAATGTAGACAGATCGTTCTTTCGAGATGGTCACAGAAAAAGAGACAAAATAAATAATAATAATGGAAAAACAGAAAAGGAACCAAGAACAATACAAGTATCGATAATAAAAATATCATTAGGCTCACATTTTGAGAAATAGTTTGGAGGACGCCTTTGAAAGCGCTGAGAGACGGTTTTGGTACTATATGCGCATCAGTAGTCTGCACAACCATACTTTTTTAGCCTCGGTCCCGTAGAAAAAACTTGTTTTTATTCCATACAATTATGTCCCATTGACGATTACGCAGAGCACGGTTGAGGTCCGACTAGAAAGTTTGCTGATGAAGTAAAAATTTTTTGTCGCCGCAAATTCACATCACACGAGAAAAGATTTTGTTAAAATAATGTCGTTTTATTTAGGTTTAGGTTATGATATTTATGATGATCATGATTATGTAACACCGAATAGATTATGGTGTCCATGGAAGGAAGGTAATTTTACGAAAGATTTTAAAATTATTGATAAATTTACAATTGAAATAACTCAAACTTTATCTACTCCTTTTGAACTGATACTTTCGAATAATAAAAATCGTAATGCAATTGATAGTTACTCGATAAAATTAATTGTCAGTGAAACACAAGCGTCAATAAACAAAGTATCGAATAATTCAACATTTATATTAAACGAGACCAAATATATTGATACATTTTTACATAAAGATCACGGTTCACACACTTATTGGTTAAGTATTGATTCGAACGATTTACTTGTTAAATATGGCCAAGGTGAAGTTAGAGATAAATTAACGATTATGAAATGTAAATTAGATAAAGAACATTTAAAAAACCAAATTCAATATCTTCATCTCAAATTTAATAATAGCATAGATTTAAATAAATTAAAAGTATTAGAAGATAAAACGACAATAAAATTCAGTAGATTTTCCGTTGCAAATCATGATCCACCATTGTTTATTATTAAACGAAGTACGCCGACATGCGAAGTAAAGACATGCGGTCTGGAATTTTCGAGATTAGCTGAACCATATGGAACATTATATAAGGATGTTATTAACTGGAGATTAGCTGATGAATTTGAATTTGCTGAAGCAGCTGAAGCAATTCATCTAAGTGTAACAAATCCGGATGGATGGTGTTATCAAAAATTACAAATGAAATCACAAACATTTGGTAATAAACCGAATATCTTAGCAACATATTTGAGAATAACAATTGGCGAAAATAATTTTGCTGGTAGTCGATATGTATTGGAAATTTGGCCACCTTTACATTACAGTCCTATTCGTTCACATGCAAATGCATTTGGTATTGTACTCGTATTGCACGGAAAAGTAAATATTCAATTATTTCAATCACTAAATGTTGAACATCGAATACCATTTCACAATGCAACATTGCGAAAAAGTAATGTGACATGGCTATCACCTGGTTTAAACCAAATTCACAAGATAATAAATCCATCACACGACGAAACAGCTATAGTACTAAAGACCTATCGGTATGGTAAACAAGATTACAGTGGTTATGAATATTTTGATTATATTGATAATGATAACCGACAAATTAAGTCATTTTTACCAAAAACTGATCTTGAATACAGTGAATTTAAAAAAGAAATGATTCGTGAATGGCATGATGATATTGCAAAAAGAAATAATTGTCCGTAATATATAACTTTACTGAGACGAGTTCAGTGTTATTATTTGATTACTCCTTTAATGCTATATGTGGACGATAGTTGGTAACATTTGCATAGAGATTTTTTAATATTCTTTTTTGCAATTTTTATTAAATTGTATGGTTTTTTAATTTTACATTTACATTTACGCTTGATTATACCTGTATAAGTTCAACATATGGACGATGGTGATGAGTCACAGCATTTTGTAACACCTCAATCAGATTTTCACCTTTTGTCGTTTGTTATAGTCCGTAAGTAAAACTTCATCATTTATAATCTAATAACTGTTCGAAAAATCGTGTTAGTTTGCTTTCTGTCTGTCGTGGACATTATGTTTTAATGAAAACTGCATATCTATCGCTAGCTTTTCGATTCTTTCTCTCAGCTCTTTATCACCAATCTTAATAATTATTATGCTAGATCCTAGAGGATAAAATTTTTTAATAAAACACCTTATCATCCTAACATTGGATGAAGACCTATAGTAAGGTGCGGGCAATTCAAACTTCGAGTAAAATTTTTTTTTTGCCTTTTTTTACATCATTTGACAGAACTTGAGCTGCTGATCACGAAAATCTACTTTTTAGCCTGAGTGAACGCTTCCTTCCAGTCAAAAAATACGATATACCCCAAATGTGTCGTTTTCTTCAAAAACACGTGCTTTTCAGAACTGTGCAACATTTTCTAGCTCGTTCTTTTTTTCAACTTCTGAAAATAATTTATTCAGCTTCAGCATCAATAACTGAGTATAGATAAGCTGGTAAACCGACTCTACACCCAAAACTCTACTGGTGGTGGCACTTCGAATTGACGCTTGTGTTTCACCGACAATTAATTGGTGGTAGCTAAAAAATGACCTAAAAGGGACTTTAAAAAAGTCGTTTAAATGTTACTTTTATAGTGTTCATTGATACCTCAATAAACACGTCATTTGCGTCCTCTAGGTTGAACTAATGAGAATTTTAGCTTTTTATTTTAGTCAATGCTGTGTGTTGATATTTTTCTGCTTCCTTAAGAGCCATTGCACGTAAACCACGTTGGTCGACCGTCGTTCTTCAATCGATGTTCTCAAAACTTTTCCAAAGTAGTGGATTCTTGTAGACCAAATATTTTGATGGATTCTGGTAGAAGGTGCAAATCAAACAGTTGTATCATTACCGAGATATGAAAATTTTACGAAAAGCCCCGAAAAACGTGGATTCTGCCATCTTGAAAATTTACCAACTTTAAGCTCTTATAATTCAGTAACAGCAGATTACTTAACCTTGGAGACTTTCACATAAGTAGTAGACTGTGTGAGCTACAAAACCACGCAACCACGAGCTTAAAACATACTGTCGTTATTTTATAATAGATGGCGCACTAAGAGCCCAAATCCAGAAAGCCTGAATTTTTCTGTAGCACCCATTTGAAACAAAGGCGACCTTGAGACTTTCAGCCATATTTCCAAAGAGACTATACGCCAAAGTATATTTTGATAAAAGTTTGACGGCCTCTGGTACTATCATTCTCCATACAGACTACAAGTTGCAATTTTGCTCAAAAATGACCATTTTGGGCGATATTGAGGAATGATTTTCTCCATGAAAATGGAGTGATTCTGAAACCCCCTAGTATACTGCTGAAGTACACCAGGTGTACTATCATAGTTCATCCTGCGATTTGTGAGTGTCACTAAAATCGATTCGGGAGCTTGGTCGGGGCACTGACTGGAAGTGTGGAAACAACTACACTCAGTGGCTGATTTTACCAGCATTCTGACCTCATCCATCATGGTCTTCTATCAGGCTCGCTGCGTTGTAACTGAACATGACTTTGTTAAGAAAGTGAAGGTCAGAATAAAGCAGTACTCATATAAGTGCGTATATTCGTGATTTATAAAGGTTTATAAGATAATTAGGATCGCTGCACTCTACGCTAGCAAGGAAAGCGACGAGTCATGTCGGCCACAACATCGTCTATTTCTCTGGAAGAAATGTTTTTTGAGCACCAAAAATAAGACTTTTGAGCACCAAATTAATTATATGTCAAATGAGCACCCAAAAACAAGATATGTTTT